CATACTTAGTTTAAACAGTTGAGGCTGTAATTCATTCTCTTCTTTCTATTTGTTCTATATTATAGTAACTACACAAAGATGATTTTCATTTTGTCATATGAATATAAAAATTCAGAATATAAATGAAACAGCAATTCATTCTTCTTGAATGTATGAATACAGCAGGAGGCAGAAAGCAGATGTAGAGTAAACAGATTTTGACACTCTAGCACTTGTAGTTGAAGCATATTGAATAGAAAGTTGGTGTACACAAAGTCTATCTAAATAATAAAGTCATTAAAGTGTTTACAGAAGAAAATACTACAAAGCCTATCATAGTGGAGGAAGGAAGTACTTCTCAGGGTAATGCCAAATGCTATTTGCTGATACATGATTCTCTTATGATGTCACTGAAGAGTTTGGGGGCCTAAAAGCAATATTTGGTTTTATGTAAAAAGACAAAGTCTTTTGGCATGCAGGCGTACATGCAGACAGAACACTGCATATATAATAAATAAGTAGAATCTTTAAAAAACTAAAAAAAAAAAAAAAACCAAAAACCCAAAACAGACAGGGCACAAACAAATGGAAGTCAGAAGACAACTTTGTGCCATCAACTCCCTCCCTCCACCTTCATGTGCATTGCTTTCAACTCAAGCTGCCAGGCTTTTGTGCCAGGCTTTTTCCTCACCGGCCCTCCACCTTATCTTTTGAGATTGGGCCTCTCACTGAATCTGCAGCTCGCCAATTCAGCGAAGCCATCTGGCCGGCAAGATCAAGAGAGCTGCCTCTCTCGGCCCCCTTGGCACCAGGATTACTGGCATATGCTGCCACACCTGGATTTTTATACGCATGCAAGGGATCCAAACACGGATCTCCATGCTTGCAGAGTAAATACTTTATCAACGGAACTATCCTCACAGACTCCTTTTATTTATTTGTTTGTTTGTTTGTTTATTTATTTATTTATTTATTTTGGAGAAGGTCTTGCTACATACCCCAGGATGGTCTCTAATTCACTCTATAGCCCGGGTTAACCTCAAATACATATTAATTCTTCTGTTTCAGTCTCCTGCATAATGGCATTATAGGTGTGTGCTACCATACAGGACCTGTTACACTTAGTTTTAAATTAACAGCTTGGTTTTTTTAAACTTAGATCTGAGGGGTAACTTTCCTTCCATCTTTGTAAGCTTATAGTGGGGACGTATAGAACTGAAGAAACCTTCGGAAGATCACCTAAAGCATGGGGCCCATGAAAATTTACCTCTCTTCCTGCCACAAGGTGACCATGGGCCAGAGGTTTCTAACTGTATTCGCACAGGAGGGAGAAGTTTTCTATGTGGTAACACAAAAACAAAGGAAACAGAAGCACTACTGTTTAACGTCAACATCCACAGTGCAGAAAAGAGAGGCAGGCACTTCACTGGCTCCTCACGCTAGCAGAAATAGCACCACACCTATGTGCACAAGCCTGCTGAAGGAGCAAGTCGAGCCGGTTCCCAAGGTCTTATGCTTCAGAGGACAGAGGGCATTTTCACTGCTGCTATCTTTCCCTATGGCAAACAGTGTATTTTCATGGCTATTGCACAATGACAGGCAAGGTGACCACCAGAGCACCTGGTTGAGGAAAAGCAATCCAGGGCCAGGACACAGATTCTAAAGTCAACATTCACAATGTGGCCATTCAGCCCAATGAGAAATGATTACAAGTTAAGAGGCTTCCCATATCTGAATAGAATAAGCCACACCGGCAGCCCATTCTACTATAAAAATCGAGTTCAATACTTGACCTAACCCCTCCCCAACTCTACTTATCTGTCTCTTTTTCCCATGTAACACCTTTTATTTTATCCAGAACCCAGGACAAACATGATGAAATATTTGTGTTTGCCCTTGAGAGTAGGCTGGAAAAAAGTGTCTGAAAGAACATATTGGGGAAAGAGGTGGGAGGTATAGACGAGAGTCCAACCATTCCACAGTTGACAGAGGTTAAAGGCAGAGAAAAGTTGTTCAAACATAAAACCAAAACCCACCAAAGCCTGCCCACTGTACTCTCCCCTAAGGACTGCAAGATTTCAATGAGTAAATTCATTTGAATAAGTACACAATTTTGTAAGTAACAATAATAATGCCATTACTTATAATCATGCAAAATACAAACAATGAGGTATGGCTGTTCTAAGGTAGCAAAAGAAATGTTGCAAAGCAGTGGTTATGGAACTACATTAGGAAACACCTGAGGGCTAAAATAAAGAAGCTGAAATCTCTCTAGCAGAAAATGGAAATCCACTGGAGACCGTTAATGATAGTTGTCATGTGGTAATATTTAAAGTACGCAAAAGGACATTCAGATCAAAAGCAGGCACTGCAGTGTGGTCCTTAGGCTTCCTAGGAGAAACATGCAATGATGTGCCCAAGCAATCAGCGGGCTGTGAAACAAGGTAAGGATTGCCATGGAAAGGAATCAAAGGAAGCACTTTAGTCATTGGCTTGCTTTCCTTCATTCCTTCCTTCTTTTCTTTTCTTTCCTTCCTCCCCTCTGCCTGCCTTCCTTGCTTGCTTTCGTTCAAAATTATAAATGCTCAAAGAAGGAAATTCAGAGAAAAAAGCAAGGAGCAAATAAAAAGCCTCTTGTTATCACTGGGAATCTCTTGGTCAATTTCTTCCTAATCTAACAAAAGAGGTTTCCAGGAGCTTGCTGGCTAACACAGAGGCATTCACTCAATATGCAAGATGGACTGAGTTCAAATGCTGATGCTGAGAAGAGGGTTGCTTTTACAGAGATGGCAAGGAAGCAAGGAAGAGAGATAGAGTTCTGGAGAAGGGGCAATTAGCAAAAGAAGAGGTGGGACAGACTGGCCTCCTCGCCAGGGAAAGCAGAGCTTTAGTTCAACAGCCTCTATCCTGACAGCCAAATTCAAGTAGAGAAGTTACAGTAAGAGGGGTAATGGCTGCCCAGTGTGTCAGTACAGAGAGGTGACGGGAAGCTCTGAGCATAGCTCTCTGCAACAGGGACCATCATACAATAGAGACAGTTGACAATGCCTCTATAATGATCTTTACTTTTAACCTATGATACAATCTATAGGTTCTATAGGTACACATATGTGTGATATGGGATTCTCTCTGTATGCTTTGGTTACCATTAATGAATAAAGAAAGCTGGCTTGAGCCTATAGCTGGGCAGAACAGAGGTAGGCTGGAAAAACTAAACTGAATGCTGGAAGAAAGAAGGCAGAGTCAAGAGACACCATGTAGCTGTCACCACTGGAACCTTGTCGGTAGGCAACAGCCACATGACAATATACAGATTAATAGAAATGGGTTAAATTAATATGTAAGAGTTTGCCAATAATAAGCTAGAGCTAATGGGCTAAGCAGTGATTTAATTAGTACAGTTTCGGCATGGTAATTTTGGGGCTGAAAAGCTGGGAACAAATAAGTAGCCTCCTACTACATATGTGAACATGTGTGCATGCACTTCACAACTCAAACTCAAAAAGTAAAAAGTAAATGGAATTTCACTAGAAGACAAAGATTAGTAGGAAATTTATAGTACTGCATGCTGTTGTATAAGTGAATTAAAAAATCTATATTGTGTTGTTGCTAAAATTCATTATATGAAAGTTATTAATATTGATATTCTAGAATAGATATTATTACAGCAACATGTACAAAGGTTTCATAATGATTGTATTTTCATGCTTTGGAATGATGAAAAATGCAGCTATATCCTATAACTATTTTACAACCAACCTGCCAACATTTTGGTAAAATAATTCCAATATATCTCACTCTATAGTAAGAGGGTTTATTCTGTGCACATTCAATCATATTGCCAATTAAGTCTTAAATATTCAAACTGCTTTACCATCGAAATAGTGACAGCATTCTTCCTAGAAAGCTGCCTAGAATTTTCTCCAGTCTATGGGAAAAAGACTTCAATTTTATAAATCTTAGCCACTGTGAATGAGATTAGAATGATTGAGAAACCTCACATAAGAAAAACAGCTTGTAGCATTTAAAAATACATAAGAACACGGTGAATACAGTGGTCCTGCAAATATCTTATTCCACTAATTCTGGTGGCATTACAACTAGAAAGAGTTGTTAAAGAAAAGCCATCTGTTAATATGAGTCAAAAGGCACAAAAAATATTTCTATTCTTGAATCTGATCAACTGATTCAAAGGAATCTGTTTCAAAGGAGAGAAAATGGACCAGGGAGGATGGGAAGCATGAAGACTCGATTGAGCTCAGAACTCTCGAGCCTACAGAAGGTGAGGCACCAGAGGATGTATCTGCAGTCTCGCTGCTCCTCCAACAAAAGGAAAGGCAGAGAGAGATAGAAGAGTCCCTGAAAGTTTGGGGGCCAGCTAGCCAGGCACATAGAGTAGCAAAAAGCAAGAGACCCTTTCTGAAACAAGATGAAAGGTTAGGATTGATGCTCGAGGTTGTCCTCTGTGGGCACATGTCCACATTCACACCGTGAACACATCTATACACACACATGCATGCACACATTCAGGCAAGTGCACACAGAGAGAGAGACACACACACACAGAGTGGGGGAACAAGGGAGAGAGAGAGAGAGAGAGAGAGAGAGAGAGAGATTTTTAAAAGAACAGGACTAAACACATGAAGACGTTCATTATAATACTACCTAGCAGGACTACCTACTTTATTTACCAAAAATAGAAACAGCCTACTCATATGTATGCCATAGCAGAGTGCTTGGGCACTGAGAAGGAGAACAGAAGAGGAAGGACAGCGGGGGCAGGAAAAAGCAGGATGAGCAGGAGAGGCAGTGTGCTGAACATGCAATAGTCACTAGAAGAGTGTAAACCTTAGATATACTATAGGACTGTAAGAAGGGCAGTGTGTGTGTGTGTGTGTGTGTGTGTGTGTGTGTCTGCAAACATGTGCGTGTGTGGCACAAGGAAAGGATTGGTGGTAGAACACTTGCTCAGTCTCATACACACACAGGTAAAAAAATAAATAAAAAGATGAGTAACTTACAAATTGGAAGCAGCTCCTGACGCTTGGTTCTATGTTACTGCCCCCAAAGGAGGCAACTTCACCCAGCTGTCTTGGGATTTGAATAGAATCATGCAGAAGAAGACCCAGCCTACGCTGGTCACAAAAGCCAGTTGAACTTGCCACTTGCTTGAAAAGGTCTATAAAAGAAAAGATGAGAACCATGAAAATCAAAACAGTGGAACAAGTGGACGTAAGCAGAACCCAATGGCCAATTCAATGCAAGTACTTATTTTCAGGTATGGCCAATATTCCCACAGATTCACTGTTTTGTTTTTTTATCTTAATTGTGTGTGTGTGTGTAATTCTAATGTAATACAGGCTGACCTTAAACTTGCTGTCTAGTTGAAGATAAGCTTGAACTTCTTATTCTCCTGACTCTACCTCCTGAGAGCTAAGATTATAGGTATGTGGTTTTATATGATGCAAGGGACTGAAGGCATAACTTTTGCCATGTTAGATTGAGGGATTATGGCTAATTTAGGGTAATCAGAACATATGCCTACATATGTCATATAAAAATTTAAATCAACTACAGTCCTGCAAAGGGTGAGTTTACATGTATTACTTTTTTATTTCATTTACTTCTATGTGAAGTGTGGGTCACATATATGAAGGCACATATGTGCAAATCAAGGAAAACTTGCAGGAGTCAGTTCTCTCCCTCCACCTTATGGATCCTGGAGGTAAAATTCAGCATTAGGCATAGTGGCAAGTGCCTTTATCTGCTGAGCCATCTTGACGGCTTACGTGCACTTTGAAAAGTTACATTTTATTGAATTCTTATGCGTGTATACATTTAGAGTATGTGGAATTCGGGGGTAACTTACAGGAATCGGTTCTCTCCTTCTATCATATGGATCCTGAGGATGGAACTTGAGTTGTATCTTCACCCAATGAGCCATCTCATCAGACCCCAAATGTATTCTTAGTAACCTAGTAACTTGCTTTTTAAAACCAAACACAATCCTTTGGTAACTATTATGTATATATGACATGAATACTACCATGGATACTTTTTAATCAAGAGTCATATGATTAGCAAAAAGCATGTGAGCATCAGATATCAAAATATGTAACAAAATCATGAGTTTTTAAAGAGTCATAAGTCCCTTCAGCATCAAAGAGATTGGCATGTTTGCTTACATAGGATGCTGTGCTCTTGTGTAACTAGCTCCTATCATACTAAGTTATTGTTGACTTCCTATGTCTGCCTTACTATTTCTGTATTTGTTTGGGGGGAAGAAAGGGTTTCAGTAGGTAGTCAAGGACAACCTTAAACTCATAAACATTGAGTGACAGCGACAGCAAGAAGTTAGGGAGAAACCACTCCCATGTCTTTTTAAAAGACAATAAACCTAACTTACAATAAGTTGTTATAATATTCAAAAAGTAAAAGCACTCAGAAATATTGTTTTTATCCCAAATAATGTTAAAGGGTCCAAAAAAACCCCATTATTCAGGTTTGGTTGGGGGTTGTTTTATTTTATGTTGTTTAGTTCGTAGGGAGGGAAAACTCCCATGGAAACTATATAAAAGTGAGCGCTACAGTGGTTTGTGTACAGTATGATTTACTCTACAAAACTGAGAACTACAACACAGCCTGGTTTTGGAGAAATGCCATGTCTTTTGTCTCCTGCCCATCTTTACACCCAGCATACTGCTTCATCTACGTATGACTAGTTCTTAGGTGAAAGCCAGGACAGGCTAGATTCGTTCAATTCCTCCTGAAAAGGCTTCTTACAAGCATTTCCAGGGGCAAACATACACAGTCCTTCAGAGTGAGAATGGATGGTGATTTGGGCACCCAAACTATGAGTCCTTTAACATTTGCCTTTTATTTAGATTTACGGTTTTTATGTAAAAGATTCTAATAGCCAATCAAAAAGAAAATTCTAGAGGGTGCTACTTACCTTCTAAGAAATAGAAGGCTAGCCATCCCTCAAACAGTAAAATGTTAGTCACGTCACAGAATTGAATGTGTCAGTACAGCTTGCAGTAAGATGATTATAAAATATACAATGCGTTTTGAACACAAATGCCAGATAGTATTATTTAAGTGGGAATCCAAAGAGACACAGGAAAAGCAGGGATTAAACCTTCACATTTCTTCTCCTGACTTACACAAAGGGGTTAGGAAATCAGACTTTATCCCCTTGGAACATGTGTTTTACTAAGACACAGACAATGTAACATAAAATAATACTTGGGCCGGCAAAGCTAATCCTCATTCTCTATTTAAATGCCTTCAATGTAATGTCTGACAGGGAAGAGCCCAACCCAAATTTTATGACCCTTTAAAAGCAGTTCTCCATCTGCAGTGACAAACCTGCCGTGAAAGAAGAATGGTACATCATTTTCCATCTAGAATGAGAGTAATTAGGCAACAACAATGAAGAAAATACAGAGTTCATATGTAAGACTTACATCTGTACTTGTCTTCCAAGTGTGCTTTACACAGAGAAATGATGCCAGTTTTAAAAGACAGGACACGGATCCTCCCTGTTCGTCCCCTATTATGAAGAATCAAACCAGAAAACAAAACAGTTACTGGCACTCCAATACAGTGTAGAAGTTCCTAGTTAAGGGGCAAAAAGGCCTTGGATACAGAAGCTCTATAGGCCAGTGTCTGATTAATGTTAAAAACTTGTCTGAGTTCATTATCTATTTGCCTCGTGACCTAGAAGGCAATGGGAAAGTTCTATGAACCAAATTAATGAATATCTACCCAGTTCTCAACTCTTAAAAGCCCTTACTTGAACTGTCAAAACAGCTCTACATAAAATCAGGATAGAATTCCCTTCCACTCACCTACAGAGAGGCTCCTTGGTTGAGTAAGAGGGAAGAATTATCACTGTGCACTTGGCAGTTCTGGTTACTAGAGCAAACTGTCGATTTTGGTTGTTAAAGCCAAAAACAATTTCTAGCAAGTAACTCTTCCCTGCTTAGCATGCCCGGAATTTCATCAAGTCACTGCTTACTAAGAAGATGAGTCATCACTTCAGGTCACACAACACAAAATATAAAACATGAATATTTATAGCCAATGAAATCATGGCATACACTATCAGAAAGCATCCCAATGCATGCCCTATAAGGCAAACTTATCAAGTAACCTACTCCCAAATGAACATTCTGATATGGCTATGCTTGAAACATTAGGAAGCAAAATAAAGCATTGCACACAAAAATGTACTAACACAAAAATTTAACCATGGGGTAACAAAGAAAAAAATAGAATGAACAAACAGATTTCCATTTTGTAGCAAATGTTTTCGAACAGCTTTTTGGCTTTTTGTTTGATTTTGGAAAGTAATTATATCTCAGATTTTGGTATGTTTGTTGGTCAATATGCTCAATTTTCAATTAGTACAACTTATCAGATCTCTCATTTAAAGAAAAATACTAGACTCAAATGCTTTCATGAAATTCCTGTCACTGCAAAAAATTATCTGTTTTTCTATTAGAAAAAAAGCAAATCAAAGCTTGACAGGTAAACTTTAGACAGCAGTTTAAGTCTTTGGGCACTAAAAATGATCTTCGGATCATTTTAGGTAGGTTGAACGAAATTCTATACTCAGACTCCATTCACATCTCCTCTACAAAGAAAATGATGCCAAAAATATGAGGGAATACCCGAAAATAAACTGTGATAAAAACAAATGTAAATGTAATCCACAATTAAAATCTGATATGTCCAAGAACCAAGTAGATAAGTATATGCATTTAATAGTCAGATGGTCCTGAAAATTAAAAAGTGAATACTTTACAAAATGGCAAAGATAACAGTATGTATGCATATCAAAAGGACATGATAGAGGCAAAGAACAGAGAGAGAAGGCAGTTTGACATGCATTGCCTTTAAGAAATCTTTCCCAGATCTCCAAATGGGAGTATGTACTTGTTGATATGTGAAATGAGGTGTGCAACAATTCTGGGGCCTAAGAGGAATTCAGTGAAAAATCAAGGCCAATGCGCGATTGTGTTCATTAGGCTGCAGACAGAAATGAGAACTGGAGCTGTGTCCTGTGTGCAATCCAAATGGCTGCTCTCTAACTAACAGAGGTTGATGAATGGATGTGCCAAAGAGCAGCTCTGCAAAACGTTACGAATACACAAAACAACAACGACAATCTTGCTTGGTTTCAGGAGCTACGTTTGCTGTACTTAAGTTTAATTCCACTTTGGGTGACTCATCTATGTACCGCCTCCATAACTGGTTGACATATGTGCTACAGCAATTCTGAGCTGACGACAGCTGTGCCAGCATCTCCAGGAGCACCGGCATCCCTGCCAATGAGAGGGCACACTCCAAAATGGATGGAAGAACTCCAAAACCCAGGTGAGAAAAGGAAGGAACCGTAGCTACCTGATAACTCGCTCTACTGAAAAGATGGCTTATCTCAGATTATGGTTAGATTCTGATCTGAGAGCCGTCTGCATTCCAACTCTTTTTTTTTTCCTCTCAGAGAGTCTCACTATGTAGTCCTGGCTATCCTGAAACTCATACTGTGGAGACCAGACTGGCCTCTAACTTACAAAGAGTTGCCTGCCTCTGCCTCTGGGATTAGAGACATTGAATCCCATTCATTTAATCTGCGTTCAGCTCTTACTGCTACCATAATAAATGTTTCAAGTCATAGGCAGAAATGATTTATCCCTAGGAGAAGACATCCATATTTGAGACACTACTCTAATGACAATACTGTTATCCCTGTGTAAGTTAGGTCCGCTCTTGCCATACATACGTATCATAAACATTGAGAAGCCAGTTGAGACACATATCCACACAGAGAGGAACGTTGACCAAGTTGTTGTGCTCTTGCTCCAGACGATCATAAATAGTAGTCAAACAGTTAATGATCTGCAGGATATCCATGGGCTGGTCATTTTGCTTGAGGTTGTGCTGGTCCAAGGCATCACATGCAGCTGACAGGCTCAAGAGATCCACTACGAAAACACACATAAACACAAATGACCCCAAATATAAACCTTGGTTTCATTGCTTTTCCTTTGCGGATGCTGGTTGAGTTGTTTCCTATCCTTTAGTAAACGCCAAATCCAATTTCTACCCTGTTTCCAAGATATTCTGTTTTCATCACTCTCCTTTGAATTTGATACGCTTTTATCAGTATTCACGATCTGAAGTTGTTTTCCAATCTCACTGGCATCGGATGAATATACAAACTTACACAATTCCCTTCTCTGGAATAACAGCAACCATCTGAGTGTTAAAGGGATCAGGCTTCTGAGTCAATAGTCATTTCTAAGTAGGAAAAAAAAAAACCGTGTTGCCCTAGAGATTTTGAAAGAGACACTCACTGATGGTCCTTTCCCTTATTAGAGATCAAATAGATGAATCTATATGGTTAGGGGGGGTGTAAACGCAATTTCTGGCTATGCATTTATAATGAGAAAGCATTTTCCCCTTAAAAGAGATAGCTCTCTTTGTTGCTTTAACACCAGGTGAAAAAATAACCAATTTCACAAAAATTTTCTATAGGCAAACTGCATGATCTATTCATATTTCAAGCCTACGGCTAATTTATTGCTCCTTTCACCTTCACATTGCATTTTACAGTGTCCTTTTTCTCGACACTTGTTAAAATTTTTAAGGCTAGGGGAGATTCCCTTGGTCCGGGGTAGTATTTAATCGGATGCCAAAAGAAAAAAATTAACAAGAGTGGATTTCCATCAGCAAATCACTAGCATTAGTCCCGAGTGTCATGAAAAGGCGCTTTTCTCTAAAGCCAATTTATTAGCCAAATTGAAAATGCAACACTGGTGTTTTTGAAACCACCTGGTACACCGAAGCTATGCTCAGAAGTGTCAGTCCTTTGAGACAAAGAATCAATGATAATTAAGTGCCTCTCTCACACACCTAAGGGGAAGAAGAGGAGGCATTGCAACTGTAAATATAACTTCAAATGAAATACACAATAAGCAATTTCTTTCAGTAAATAGTTTTTCCAATAATATAAGGAAGGCAAACATAAATCAATAACACATTTTCCTAGCTACAGGAAGTAAGTTCAAATTACATATTACAAAAATAGTGGTTAGTACATATGCAGCAACATAGTGTCTCTCTTAAAAAACGGGAAAGAATTTTGTGTCAAGTTTCCCTAGAATCATGAAGAGCTAATGGCAGAGGCGAGAGGTAAGTTCCACTATTTTTCACTCCCAGAAAGAAAGCTCTGTGCTCTCATGCCATGGGCCAGTTTTCCTAAAATATCCTGGGCTAACACTCCTTTGACTCACTTACAGATTGTATTTTGCTAAGGATGGAACTCATGGTCGCACATGTCTCTACTGCAGCCTGTTTTGATTTAACATACGGCCATGTTCTGCTTACAACCATGTTCTGCTTAACGTCAGGGGAACGTTTTGGAAGGAAAAAAAAAAACATCAGCAGGTGATTTAATCATTGAGTGAGCATCACCGAATATAGCTACACAAATTAAGAAGTCTACTACATTTCTAGGCTGCATCGTATTATGGGATCACTGCCAGTGACTAGCCCAAACATCCTTAGACAATGCTCCACTGTGCTCTACAAAGAAAGAAATGATCTTCCTTAATGAAATCCGAGACTGTGTACACGTGGAAGTAGAAAACTGGCAGACGGCAATTTGGAAGTCAGGTGGGCAACACAATGAAGAAAAAAAATGAGTGTGCAAGCAGGCAGGAGGCTATCCGAACAGGGAGGCGAAATGGGGACTCCTCGGGAGGCAGAAGGGAGCTACAGCGACATGGTACTCAGATTTTTATCATCTCTTTTGTCTGCCTGACTTCCTGAGAGCCCAACTGCTGAAGTGCAGGTCGTGGAAACTGTCAGAAAGGTAGCATGGCAGCTTTGTTATTGGAAGGGTGGAGTAGATTTCTTCCATACACCAAAATTTCTAACGTAGTTCTTTATATATTGCAGAAACACTATGGGTCCTGTGAAGTGCTTTTATTATTTCCTTTTTTTTATTATGATATACTTTAATAATTATAAATACTTTGCTTTTGACTTAAGTATAGAAGAACAGTGAGGATTTTTCCACTCACTTTTGATGATGTATCGAATGAACCCACGTGATGATAAAAAGCAAACAGTGAAATGGCCTAAATTTCATTTTATTGGACCTAATCTCAACACAGGTGACTAGGTAGGCAACACACACAACAGAAAAATTTAGAGTAAAAATAGCTCCGGGGGGAGTGAGGCAATTGCTTGCAAATAACAGGAGCAGAAGATGGCACAGGAGAGAAATAGTGTGTGGTGTTCTCTGCTAAAACCGGATGCGGTGAAATACAAGACCAATCCATCACAGAATATGGGAGAACACAATTCCCCAAACAAATATAGCAAATCGAAAAACAGAATTTTGTTTCCACGGAACAATATTTAAAAGCCTCCTATTTAAGCAGACAAAGACCAGGCAACAGACCAGCAAACAGGTGAGGGAAGAGATAAGGGCAACTGAAACCTCTCTCTCTCTCTCTCTCTCTCTCTCTCTCTCTCTCTCTCTCACACACACACACACACACACACACACACTCACTCAATGCTCAAACCAAGCCTATTAAAGAATACATGGAAATTATTTTGGTGAAACTTTAAACAAAACAATGAGCTTTCCTCCAAACCTCAGTAACCAACCAGCAGATGGTTTTGTGAAGATATCCTTTTTCTTGAAGCTAACACTTTCCATTATATTAATATATAATATAATTTTAAATAAGTGTACACATGCTCAAAAGTGTGTGTGTGTGTGCGCGCGCGCGTGCACACGTCCTTGCACATGTCAGAGCACTTGCTGCTCTTGAAGATTAACTGGATTCAGTTCCCTGAACCCACATAGATGGTGACTCATAACCATCATAACTTCAGGGATCTGATGTCCCCTTCTGATCTCCATGGTCACCAGGCACACATGTGGTGCACATATATACATGCAGGCAAAATGTTTATACACAAAAAAATAAAATAAACCGTGTTAAAATGTTTTCCTTCAAAAATGCTCTAAACATATTTTAAACTATTATTTTTAATTATGTGTATGTGTGTGGCTATATGTGTGGGTATGTGCCTTTGAGTGCAGATGGCCAATGAAGCCAGGAGCTGCAGTTACATGTGGTTGTAAGCTACCCAATATGGATGCTGAAACTTGGGTCCACTACAAGAACAGTATGTGCTCTTAACCACTAAGCCATCTTTCCAGCTTCTTCAAAAATACTTTAATGAAAAAAGAAGTTATAGCTTCGATGTCATTGAAGACTAGGACTATGTGGTGGTGTATTCTTTATGCCTGAGTAGGTAGAGAGAGGAGAGATATGACTCCCTTCCAGGGACATATTTACCACTCTGAAGAGAATCTGGTTAAACCTAGTCATTCCTTCTAGGTTCAAACATCAGTTACATCTTGCCATTGGCCAAAGGAGTTCCCTCATCCCCCCAAACATCAAAACTATCTCTATAATCTAATGACAAAGTCCTTTTATTGATGACAGAACTGTCTTACGTCATCAAGCATACATGTCAGAAGTGAGAATGTTTACAAGATTCATAACCCAGTCTTACTAAAATATTCCTAAGGCAATATTTATAAAGAAAGGTAGTGATATAGAATCACTCCTTCCAAGTCTCAGGGATCATTGCAGAAGACGGTACAGAAAGATTATCAAAAGTCAAAGGCAACATGTGCTGGAACACAACAGGACAGCTGCACATATGAATTTAAAGATTATGACTGCACACACCAAAGCTGCGCAAGCTCAACCCAGACCCAATCCCAGCCTGGAGAGAAGAGGTGGCTACACAGTGTCACCCCTGGTTACAGAATCAATGGCAATGGTTAGCTGTGGGAGAGGGAGAGACAGGCTTCTCTTGGTGTAACCCTTCGTAGTTGACCACAGTCCAGTGGAAGACCACACAATCAACAATATTTGGGCAGTACAAATTGTGCTTGAAGAGTTTCAAAAAAAACTAAAAGGAAAGGAAAATAAAACAATGAAGCACACAACACACAATGTTTCATGAGGAAAAAAAGATGGGTAGACCTGGGAAGAAGTGAAGAGCGGAAGTAAAGATGTTCAACACCAGTAAAAAAAAAAAAAACCTGAAACTCTGAAAGAAATAATATTTTAAAGAGATTTATAAAAAATGGAAGCTGGACTAGGAATACCTGGCCAGCTAGAGTTTACTCATAAGTAGCAAAGTTTAACTGATGGAAACGATGTTCTAATCCTAATATAAGAACAATACTTTGAGGATATCCAATTCCAGAAGGAAGGACAAATATGGAAAGGTGCCTAGAATCATGGGCAAATAAAACCACTGATAACTGGATAATAGAGCCTACAAAGGGCCCTTTGATATTACAAGGACTGGGCACCAAACACCTCTTTCCCTGTTGTGCAACTCAAGGACATCAGAGGGAACACAATACTTTCCCTAGAAGATAGATGGATATTATCACAAGATAATTATCTTCAAGATAATTGAAATTCTGATATAACAGAGATATGCCTTTTAAACTACATGAAAAGAAATGTGGACATATTATTAATATATTATACATATTATTATACTTGGGAGCACTTGATGTGAGTCAGCGAATGACTCAGGATCTACATCTTGCTTACATTAATTCTATTTGCGTTGTAGCTTGCTGTAGCAATAAACTATAGTATATAAGCCATGTTATCGTGGGCCCTGTGAGTCTTCTTTACCAACCTAACCCTGCCTAATGCCCTCTTTAGCCATCTTTAGTGCTCTATTAGAAGGTAAGGTTCGTTTACCTGGAAGAAAGCACATTTTTCACTTTGTCTTAATGAAAGCAAATCCAGAAGTTTTAGCTTTAATCAGACAACTCTATACTGTATCGTATGACTGTAATTTAGGATCAGGTTTCTGAGCAGTGGCAAATTATTCTCCATTTCTTGTTGCATGGAAAATACTTGTCACATTTATCAACTGTCATATATTTAGCCCTGTGGTTTGGGCTCTCTCCAATCCCCTACATGCTAATAAACTAAATATATTTGCTTTGTTAGTATATTTTTACTTCTGCTCTTGCAAGTTGGCTATCCTTTAGATGATTGAAGATGCACACTTATAGAGTGTCATCAGAACCATGGGAGAAGAAAGGAAAAGCTACATCATCTTCTTCATACTTCCCCAGGCTATCGACCACACGAACCAGCTTACAAATACTTCACACTAAGACTTTCAATTTTTCTCTGCTGCTCTATCAACTTTAACTTTTGTTTACACTGCACAGAAAATCACCTATAGAGGCACACAATATAAAAATGATTATAAACTGGGGGGCATTGCAAGCCAATGGTAATACTCATAACTTAAGTAGCACATTCTCTGTAGTAGATAAAATGTATTATTTGGTTTCCTGTAATATTGAAGTTTGATAGAGAAGTATTTATTTATTTATTTATTTATTTATTTATTTATTTTAAAGACCAGTTGCCTCATAGAGATGGCTAAGTATGTTCTCTAAGGGATCTGAAATTCGATCTCTTCACTGGCATCAAGAAATCACTGAGATAACATCTGCTAATGTAAGACGCAGTGGAAATAGACATTGATAGGAAAAACTAGTCAGGGCAAGTTTCATTTGCTTAGGCCATGGACAATAGCTCTTTATCAAACTTTTGCAGGCACAGAAATAAAAAAAAAAGAGCTAAAAGATAAACCTAAGCAAATACAAAATTTGGAGGAAGCTCTTAAATCACCTATTGAAACCTCACTAAGGAATTGGACCACACATGTTCTTCAAAAGTAAACGGATTGCCAAAACTTTTCACTCTGTTCTCACTGCACATGGGGCCATAGTCTGCATGGTATTATCCATGCATTCTTAAGAATTCAGTACCTAATTTAGATAAATACACTCTAATTTTGCTATCCTTGAGTTTTTTTCAAATCAGAGTGAAGATCTGAAAAGAAATGCTGAGAATTTCAACTCTGCTTAAAAGTGAAAATTCAACCAAATCATCTTATATTCACAGTTAAGGTTTATTACAAGGTTATCACCTTAAATGGCTAACATGGTTTATTTTTTACACTATCCAACTCCTCTATGTTCGCAATGTTAACTAAAATTTTGACATATACTAAAAAGAAAGACAATGAATAGAATTCATCTCTTTCACCATAAAAATGAATAATGTTCAAATGATTCCAGGCAGCGGTGGAAAAGGATAACAGTCATAAGGCATTAGAGGCATTTCCATCTAGTCTGTTACTGAGTTTTGTCATAGTATAACCTGGAACAGCTGGTTACCTCTTTTGAACTTTTGGGATCTTACAGGAATATTCTATAGCACTTTAGAATAACCAGTTCATAATTCTCCTTTTTATCAAAGGCGAGCAGCACCTCTGGGATGGGGCAGGGTCAAAAGAAGAAAAAAAGACAGAAGACTTTCTCTATTCAGCCCCTTGACTCCACCCCACCCCAAACTCCTTTGTGCCTGCTATGATTCATTAACCAGGTCCCCAAGGAAATCCTAGGCATGGGGAGCCTTTTATTAGCTACTGAAACTTGGCAGCTATGCACCAGAAAATGATAACTTTGGGCTATAAGCCCTTAAGGCAATGGAATCTTCCATTGGCTTTCATCCATGTATTCATTCTATGAAAACAGAAAGCTCTATTCTTTGCTCAGTTTTATGTTAATTATTGGGAATATCAATATAAAAAGATCTTTCCCAATAATATCACTTCTAGGGCACTTGTATCACTATGTGACAACCCCATACCAGTAGTTCCTTGACTTTACTTCTACCCACTTCTGAGAACCTCTAGGTGTTTCCAAAGGACATTGGTGGCCGAGGCTATTAGTCCTTCAGTGTTTTTTAATTTCCATCCCCAAGTTTGAGGGATTTTAGTATTAGGAGTGAAGAGCCATACATAACTCTAGCTTCTCAATATCTTAATGTTCTAGTCTACCTCCATAAAAAATCATACCAATTCACTTTGTCACCCATTTACATGGATACTTTAGAAACAGCAGTCAGCAACATCTCCTTCTTGAATATAACTGCATGCTTTTCAGTTCCTTCACTAACTCTTCCTAACTTACTTTACCTCTTGATCCCTCTATCTCCTAATTGCCAAATTCAACCTAAATTTTTAGCTTCTCCTACCCAACAAGGCCTTGAAATACAACATTCTAACTTCCCTTTTCCCAAGCCCTCACAACCCTCCCCTAGGTATCATCTGCCTATCCTAGGACAGCGGTACGCAGGTTCCGGTTGCCGGCTGCTGCTAGAGGGATATTGCGCCACTAGAGACTGGCAGTTGTAGAGACAGTCAGCCTACTGAGTTTCTCAGTGCTGGTTTTTGACTTAACTTCCCTCTCGTTCTCCACAAAGATAAGGTCAGTGTCCATTTTATTACCTTCCACTGCTAACTGTGTCACAGGGATTCTCAAACGCCACAAAGAAAACCTTTGGTTTTAGATGGGTTTCCATCGCCCTCTTGCTGCCAAGTTTCTTGGTTACCTAGAACCTACATGTATCCTTCTCTCTGGCACTCCAGTAGCGGAGAAGTGTCTCTTCTTTTTGCCTGGCTCTAGGACACCTGCCTATAACTTGCCCCTTTTCATCCTGTCATCTTAAGTCAGTCATTTTTTAATTCCTCAGTGATCTCCAATTTGCTATAACCTCTCTTTGCCCCCCTTTGCAACTAAAGTTCTCTAAGAACAGGCCCATTCCAGTCATCTACACCTTTTGTTCACTTTTAAGATGCTCAGTGTATTATCTTCACCAAAGTTACTAAGGCTCTCTCTGCTGCTAGATACAATGGGCATTGCCACCACCATCATCTGACCTTATGATAGGTTCTTCCTTTCTTTCATGCACTGGGCACTATAACCTCTTGGATTTTCCTACGGAACTCTCAGACATGACTTTATACTCACTTCTCATGGTTGCTTATCCTCTGTCCTAAATGACCTCTCCTCCCTCCCTCTCTCTCCCTCTGTGTATATGTGTTTGCTATCTTAACCTTTCTATAAATCATTTAAGCAGTAGCTCCATGCTTTTAATTGCTAAATATTGCTTGTGTAGCTCACTCTACCTTTTACCAAACTCTGGTAGACAAGCTCACTGTTCACAGGGAAGCCCAAGTCAAGACTCCACGAGTCTTCCCTTCCTTGATTTGCCTTCACCCTCCCCATCAAACAAATCACTAAGGCTTCGAGCATCTACCGCCTATATATTGAAATGTTCCTCCATTCCTATTCAAGCCACCATATTGCTGGTTTCAATTCAGTAACAGATCTCTTTCCTGCCCATGGTTCAACCCTCAATTCATGCTTTGTTTCCCAGCTAGAATGGTTTTTCAAAGTGAAAATCCATCCATGTCATCCCCTTGCCAAAATCTCTTGAATGGCTCCCACTGACCTCTAAAGGCTTTAACTTGAATTTTAAAAGCTCTTCGCAATCTGTCTCCTGCTTCTCTCTCTAGCCTAACATTTCACAATAGGCCTGGAATTCTGCAGAGTAGCCATGACGAAGTCATTTCAGTTCCTGAGTACTTTCGGCTCTCCTTAGGCCCCAGGCCTCAGAACATAGCCTTCCCTCCCTATGACTAGAACACATATGACGAGGCTGTTCCTGCAGACCCAAATCTACAGGTTCTCCACAGCCCAGGACAGCAACAGGATATCCAGGAGGAGTCCAGTGAGGGCCCAGCATCGATAGTGTAGCAGAAACCAGAGGCCTCAAACCAGACCGATGACTCTGCAATGAACACTTGCAAGTAAAGACATATGAACGAAAGGTTATACTGTGTGACTCACTGCGTCACACTGTCGCTTCCACGACGAGATTCTTTCCCCCCCCTTTTTTTTCTTTAGTTTTCTCTCTTTTTTTTTCTCTTAAATTTTGCTTTATTTTGGAGGTGGGTAGCAGGGGCAGAGGGCAGATATGAATGGGATTGAAAAGCATGATGTGAAAGACACAAATAATAAATAAAGGAAAGTTAAAATAAAAAAAAGATCTCGCCAGGCATGGTGTTGCTGCCTTTTATCCCAGCCGGCAGATCTCTGAGTTCGAAGTTTTCCTAGCCCACAGAGCTAGTTTCAGGACAGCTAGGGCTACGCATAGAAACCCTGTCTGGGAAAACAAACAAAAAATCCAGTCACCTTTTTCTCTATCATAACATACATCTGAATATTTGCATTTAAAGAAACAAAAGACATATCTATGAACTTGGTTCAGATAATATGGTTATAATGCTCTAATATGAAATAGTCTTTATAAAATGAAGATATAATGAGAAAGGGGGAGATAAAATAACTTTCACAAAGATAAATGTAGGTGTAAATGCTATTCATTTAACAAAACAAATTTTACCGATATCTTATCAATTTAACAAAAGTCACTGAACACTTGCAGAGGTAGTTATAATCCAACAAAACAGTCTGGGCAGGTACTAAGCCAAAATGCTTTCAAGAATACATTGTATTTGGCAAAATGACCTTGTGACTCAAGGGTGTAAACATGGTGAAAACTCTCCAGTCCTCATTCTTTAAGCAAAGAAAAATGATCAAGGCCTTCAAACATTGGCTAATACTTACAGCAAAGGGCCTTCTGCAGTCTTCGGAGCTTCATGGCAGTCCTATAGGCGGAGAACCTGACATTATTCAGGTCAGCTGAAGAAAAAGGAGGGAGACAAAGACCATTTGTTATTTCATCAGAAAGCACAGAGGAAACCCCCGATGATTTGCCAACAGCTACAAAAGTCACAATAAGAAGGTAGAAAGAAACCTTGTGCTTATGCTCTGAGCTTTAGAAGGTGAACTTCTGTAGGTTTAGTGTTAAGGAAACAGGGCTTTGTGCCCTTGGACAGTGAGGACAGCTTAGCTTCCCTTCCGGGAAAGGCTACAGTGGCAGAGCCTGCCGGCCTATCATGAACTGCTAGGTCCCCAGAGGGAAAAGGAGGCCAAGCATTGTTTTTCTTCCTAGACTGTAATCTGTATCTACTGTAGTAAATCCTTGCTGTGCAAGATTAAAGAAAGAGACGGAATACATTACTGGAATTGTTATAAATAAGACCTGAAAACGCAAAGAACGCTATGCCCATATTTTCATATAAAAGGTCAGATGTTTACTGTGGAAAAGAGAAGAAATTAAAGAAACCTATAAAAAACTGAATAAATAAAGCATAACAGCCTACAACCATGGAATATATACTGTTAACATTTCAAGCATGTTTTATATAATCTGCATGTGTATGTGTTAATATAAAATTGAAAGTAAAATGAATTTCAACATTTTTTAAATTGATCTAAAATTGCATGTATTTGTCATATACAATATGATGTCTGAGGTTAAAAAAACACATAACGTTATGATTAAATTTAAAGCAAACATCCTTATTATTTTTGTGGTGAGAACACTTAATATCCAGCCAGCATCTTTGCATTTTCAACCATATATCACCATTAATTATAGTCACGATTCAACGGAATAATTTCTTAACTTTTTGAGCACTTGCTGTGAAAACTAACAGCATTTCCATGCCTCCCCTTCTTCCCGCCAACTCTTCCCATGTTTGCCCACCCTCTCTCAAATTCATCATCCCCTTAGTTATTTTTACAGAACATATTTCTTGAACTTATTCCTGCTAAAATGTAATTTTGCAATCTTGGACCAGCAACTAGCATTATATTCAGTTTATCTTTTATCTTTTAAAACTATTTTTCAATTTAAATATATTTTTGTCATACTCTTTCCCTCACCCAAGTACTTCTAGATCCTCTCCCACTGCCTACCCACCCAACTTTAATGTTCTTCATCAAAAAATAAAACAAGCAAAAACCCAATATAACAACAAAATCCCCCCAAACCAAAAAACAAAATCATCCCCCCAAAAACCTACAAAACCATAACCAAATAAAAGCACCCCCCCTTAAAAAAAACCCTGTGGAGTCAATGATATGGGTCAACAACTCTGAAACATGAGGGCTGCCCAGGAGTGGCTGGTGCACTCAGTGTCACTCCATTGGAGAGAACTGAGTTCCCCTCCCAGTAGATTAACTAACAGTTCAGTCCTTTACACCAGTGGCTAGATTTTCATCCACTCATTCATTTTAAAATATAAAATTAATAAAATAAGATAAAACAAAATCTATCACATCGAAGTCGGACATGACAAACCAACAGAAGGAAAAGTCCCCAAGAGAAGGCACAAGAATCAGAGACCCACTCATTGCTCACTCAGAGATCACATAAAAATGCTAACCTGGAAGCCATAGTTTAGACACAAACAACCTGGTGTAGACCCATGCAGGCCCTAGCGTGCTATTTCAGTCTCCATGAGTTCATATAAGCTTTGATCGGTTGAATCAGAGGGTACTGTTCCCCTGGTGTCCTCCATCCCCTCTGGCTCTTTCTTTCTGCCTTCTCTTCTGAGGGGTGCCCTGAGCTCTGAGCGGAGGAGGGATTAGATGCAGACAACCCATTTAGAGCTGTGTGTTTCAAGGTTTCTCTCTCTCTCTCTCTCTCTCTCTCTCTCTCTCTCTCTCTCTCTGTGTGTGTGTCTCTGCCTGTCTCACTCTCTGTGACTCTCTGTCTCTCTCTGTCTCTCTCTGTCTCTGTCTCTCTGTCTCTCTCTCTCTCTCTCTCTCTCTCTCTCTCTCTCTCTCTCACACACACACATATGCCTGCCTATGGCTCTCTGTATTTCTTCCCATCTGCTGCAGGAGGAAGTTTCTCCAACAATTAGCTTTATTGTCTAAGGTCTAAGTCCGATAGTCGGCATGGACTAACAATTCAACAATTTAGGGCACCATTTTCTATCTGTAAGTCCCGGAAAGTCAGGTCATTTAACAGGGGGCTATACTCAGAGAGCACCCTTATGCAAGTCTGCACAAGCGTTATCATAGCTATGTTTCTTTTCGAGAGTTTCTATATATGTATGTATGTATGTATGTAGTTTGCATGTATGTATAAACTTCAGAAACTCAGCTCCAAAAAGCTCCTTGAGAATTTTGTCACCAGTCCTATTTCTTAGCAATTTAATATATAACTGCTCTGTGACAAAGCAGAGCTAATACAGCCAGAGAACTGGCTGACAGACTGAATGAGTAAATGAACAAAAGGAAGACAAGAAGACAGTGTAACTGCCACAAAGGATATCCACACCACTGATCCTAAGGAAGGAAACAGTAATATTTTCTCTATATCTAAGTCACCTAGATCAACATTATTCGCTTTGTGGTCTGCGCAGAAACCAAACATATTGGCCTACATTTAAATGAGAGGGGAAAAAAGAACATCTAGAAGTTATTCCAAATTATTCAGCATAATTTTTTAAAGACTGGCAATACCAAATAATGAAAAGACCACGAAACGACCAGAGCACCTACAGAGCTTATAGGAATACAAAACAATGCAATTTTGGAAAGTTATATGAGCAGTCTCTTTTTCCTTTTTAATGATTTATTATTTTTACTTAACGTGTCTGAGTGTTTTGCATGCTCGTATGTCTATATATCCTATGCATGTCTGGTGCCTACAGATCCTCTGGAACTGGAGTTATAGGTGGTTTTGAGCCACCACGCGGGTGCTGACAACTGAACCTGGATCATCCGCAAATGCAGCAAACGCTCTAAACCTTTGAGCCAACTCTCCAGCCCCAGATTAGGAGTGTCTTCTGACATTAAATACACATATATCTTATGACCAATATTAATATTTACAAAAATAAATAAAATACATGTTCACAAAAAGCCTGGAACATGATTGTCCACAGCCTCATTCATAACATCCCCAAACTGGACTGGAAACAAAGCAATAGAATAACAAATAATCAGCCTGTGCTAGCCACATAAGAGATACTGACATACAATAAAAGGAAAATAATTACAGAGAATGTAACAAAACATCAATCTAAAAGCCATGCAGCTGGCTTTTACATAAAACTTACATAAATAATTTTGAAAAAATATAAAACATGCTAAATCTACCTATGGACAAATGGTAACCTACCATGGTGTGGAAGTGGAAATTTTTACTCAAAGGAACCAAGAGCTATAACTGAGGTGGTTAGGGTATGTATTGTGATTGGTGTAGGGGCGACATGACCTCATGTTTGCCAAAACTGTGTGTTTAAAAATGGAAGTGTTTTATGGTGTTTAAATTATGCTTTAATAACGTCAATTTTAAGAGTGAAAAAACTACTCTCATGTATACAGTACAATGTGATGTATGCGTATGTTAGTTTAAGCCACACTACAGAGGCGGTCAGTTGTCTTAATCAGGAATGCATACTCCAGGGGTGGCTGCTTAGCAATTAATCAAAAAGCCTCACTCGAGAGGCGGCCACCGTAAAGTGCTGCAGCTATATTTAGCTCCTATTACACTGGTGATTTCATTAATTAACATAAGTAATGTTAGATAGGGTAGTATTGTTCATACTAGTGTCAAGCAAAATATGAACACTGTTGAAGAAGATTTAGAAACATTACCTGCCATTACGTTAACAGGATCAAAGACCATTCTAGCAGAGTCTACATTGTTAGAAATGGTACCCTAAACTGGACCTAACACTGTCTAACTGTGGCCCACTGGATTCTTGGTTGCCTGACAGAGTCCATACTATGAAATCAATGGTCTTTCAAATGTGAATACACCTGGAAAGCTAGTTCTAAAACACACATTTCCCTGTCCCTCACTCTAGATTTCCTGATTCTATAGGTCTGGGCGAGAGCTTTGAGAATATACATTTCTAACAAGTTTCTAGGTAATGCTAATGCTGTTGGTCCATGGACCACACTCTAAGAACCATTGCATTGAAGGACTGTGGTTTACCCATGCTCGCCAAAGGCACTCAAAACAGCACAGCTAGTATTTGGCTGTGCTTTTGGTACAAGCTGTAAGGTTATCTGGTACCCACTGCCTAATGTTCCTATGTGACAGTGCTTCTTTGGGCACCTGCTTTCGCTATAATTTGGAAGCCAAAACAGGAATAAAAAGAAGCTGTCAGCTCCATTCTTAATAATCCTTCATTCGTCTTACCCCCAACATCACAGTTTTCCCCCTTAGTCTCTTTTCCCCAGTCAGCACTGTTTAGCTTTGAAGGTGTTCTGGACAAATTTATAGTAAGAATCATCTTGTGGAATTAAATGGATTCCTGCCCTGCCTCCAGCATATTCAAAAGAGTTTTCGTATATTTACTACTATGGATTTTACACACTTGTTATTGAGGACTTTTAAGCTCTCTATAAAATTAGCTGTACAAAGACATAGAATCATTCTTTGGGTTAAATACGGTCTACATTTCCCTTAAGAACATTCAGTAGCCGTTTTTAAGGCATGAGAGCTATCTACCAAGCAATCATCTCAGTCGAAGACACTGGCACAGCACTCCCCTCCCATTTTTCTTAATCCTCCTTTTCAACTGACTCTCAACTCACGGGATTTGTTTCCTTCTTTCTTCTTTCTGGTGTGCAACCAAAGACTCTCTCTTATGGCCCTAACTCCACTCCCCTTTCCAATTGTTCTGGTTTTATTCAGAACTCAAAAAAAAGGAGGGGTGGGGCAAATGAGGTCAGACACTTCATCCAACTCTCACAGAATTCTCATAAAGAATTGGCATCTTCCAGAAGCTAGAGCTCCAATTGGGAAGGCCTGGATGATATGATTTGTT